AGGAATGCCACCTGTCTCTTCTGACTGGTGATTTTTCTCTTTTCCTGTTCCCGGTAGGCAAGCTCAACAAGGCATGAGATCCCCACCTCCCCACCTCCCTCAAGTTTCTGGAGTTTTCTTCGTATGTCCAGGGTACTGTGCCTGATAAAAATCATATTCATTTTCGGGAGTCTCAGGGTCAGTGTCTGTGAACTGTCTAAAAGCCAAAAAACTTAGTGCGATCTTCAGTTGGTACTTATTTGATCCCATATATTTTACTAAGGTTTTTTTGTTTAGACACCCCTTTCTTCAACCCTTCTAAAAGGCACTCCCTATGATAAGCCAGGCAGGTCCATCCCTCGGCCATATTCTGATCCCAGCCAGGTCCCCCATTGGGAAAGTCTCTGCCCCTGGCTGATTTACTGCCTGCACTCATGACATCTGTTGGTCTCGGCCCTAGACTTTTTTCTGGGGTCAGGAGCACATCTAGCGGTGCCTGATAATCTATGCAATTAGGGTTATGAGTGCAGAAGATGGAGGCAAAAAAATCCTGCATTCTCTTAGGGTCTTCCTGATATCCAGGGCTATGGTTTTTCCAGTTATAAAGATCACTTCTTCAAAAACTTTGGTAGACCCAGACTATGCCAGCATCTCCTGCTGGAACTTGTCAGAGGAGGTTCATGCCCTTAAGCTCAGCTGTGTTATGACTTTCCTGAGACTAGGTGGCCCTCATGTTACTTTTGTTCTCCCTAGTCACCAAATTGGGGCACCCAAAGACCATTCCACTTCGTGAATGGGGCAGCGAGCCCAACGCCGCGATGGAAGAGCTTGGGAGGAGTAGAATCAAAGATTGAGGGGGCTTAACAGTGGGGGCTGTCAATGGCATGGCAGCTCCATTGGGTAGAGGCAGGGCATAGGGAGGGGGTGGTGCAGGCACACATACACACAATGGAATACTACGCAAGGATAAAGAACAATAATGAATCCACTAAACATCTCACAACATGGATGAATCTGGAGGGGATTATGCTGAGTGAAATAAGTCAATCACAAAAGGACAAATATTGTATGAGACCACTATTATAAAAACTCAAGAAAATGTTTACACACAGAAAAAAACAATCTTTGAGGGGAGGGATGGGGAGGGGAAATCACTAACTAGATAGCAGACAAGTGTTAACTTTGGTGAGGGAAAAGACAGCACACAATATAGGGGAAGTCAGCACAACTTGACCAAGGCAGAGTCATAGAAGCTTCCTAGACACATGCAAACACCTTGAGGGATCAAGTTACTGGGTCTGAGGGCTGGGGATCATTGTTTCGAGGGATATCTAGGTCAACTGGCATGACACAGTTCATAAAGAAAATGTTCTACATCCTACTTTGGTGAGTAGCGTTTGGGGTCTTAAAAGCTTGGGAGTGGCTGTCTAAGATACAACTCTTGGTTCCTTCCTGTCCGGAGCAAAGAAGAATGAAAAACCCAAAGACACAAGGAAATTATTAGTCCAAAGGACTAATGGACCACTTGTGCCATAGACTTCGCTAAGCTGAGCTCAGAAGAACTAGATGGTGCCTGGCTACCATCACCAACTGCTCTGACAAGGATCACGATAGAGGGTTCTGGACAGAGTGGGAGAAAAATGTAGAAAAAAAATTCAAATCTACAAAAATGACCAGACATACTGGACTGACAGAGACTAGAGGAACCCCAAGACTATGGCCCCGGACACCGTGCTTACTCAGAACTGAAGCCACTCCCAAACTCCACCATTCAGCCAAAGATGAGACAAGTCTATAAAACAAACAATAACACATGTGAGGGACATGCTTCTTAGTTCAATCAAGTATACAAGACCAAATGGGCAACACCTGCCCAAGAGCAAAGAGGAGAAGGCAGGAAGGGACAGGAAAACTGGACAAATGGACACAGGGAACTCGGGGTGGAAAGGGAAAGGGGGAGAGTGCTAACCCATTGGGGGGATTGCAAGCAATGTCACAAAACAATTTGTGTATAAATTTTTGCACAAGAAAAAAAAAAGAATTCTTTGAGTATTTTACATGTCAGTCCTCTACCAGATATGTGTTTACAAAATATTTTCTCCCATCTTGTAGCTTGTCTTTTGAGCCTCTTATTAACATTTTTTAACAAAGCAAGTGTTTATAATTTTAGTAAAGACCAACTTGGCAATAAAAAAAAAAAGTTAGGAATTTAAAAAAAGAAAAAAAAGGACCTGAAAAATAAAATACTTCATTTCATCTAGTAAAAAAAAAAAAAAAAATACAAAACAGGACCTACTCCTAGAGTACACTCATACAGGGTTGCTGAGTCAAATGATTCAGTGGCAACGGGTTTGGTTTTTGTTTTACTTCTAGAGTCAGGAGTCCCTGGATGGCACAAACAGTTAAGTGCTCGACTACTAGCTGAAAGGTTGACAGTTCAAACCCACCCAGAGACGCTTGGAAAGACAGGCCTGGCAATTTGCTTCTGAAAGTTCACAGTCTTGAAAACTGCATGGAGCACAGTTCTACTTAGCACACATGAGGTCTCCATGAGTCAGAATCAACTTGCTAGCGTCTAACAACAACAGATCCTAGAGTCATGGCCCCAGAGGGCAGAGAAGATTAGGCTACCTGGCTTGCAGATTCCCCACGCCCATGGGAACATGCTCTGCCTGACTCAATTCAGACTCAAAGAAGGACATGTTTACAAAGATTTTAACTGAGAACAATCTGTTCTTCAGTACTATCCCAATCCAGGCCCAATCTCCCATCATTCAAACAAGCCACATCCCATAAAGAACAACCAAAGTCTAAAAAATGAGGGGCAGCTTCGGTGTTTGCCCCTCACTAGCCTTGGAATAACATCTCTGACATCTGTGGTCCATAACAACACACACATACCATCTATAGTCATTTCAAACTTTTCCAGCACCGACCTCCAAAATCGACGCCCATGGAAGGAGCAGTCAAGAAATCAAATTATGTTATCACATTGGGCAAATCTTCTGCAAAAGATCCTTTAAAATCTTAAAAAACAAAGATGTCACTTTGATGAGTAAGGTGTGCCTGACATAAGCAATGGTCTTTTCAATCACCTTCTATGCATGTGAAATGTGGACAATGAAATAGGAAGACCAAAGAAGAACTGACACATTCAAATTGTGGCGTTGGCAATGAGTATTGAAGATACCATGAACTGCCAGAAGAACGAATAAATGAGTCTTGCAGAAAGTACAGCCAGAATGCTCCTTAGAAGAGAGGATGGCAAGACTTCATCTCCCTTTCTTTGGACACTTCATCAGGGGGAACCAATTGCTGGAGAAGGACGTTATATTTGGTAAAGTAGAGAGTCAGTGAAAAAGAAGAAAACGTTCAATGGGATAGATTGACACAATGTCTACAACAATGAACTCAAATATACCAACTAAGGATGGCGCAGGACCAGGCAACACTTTGTTCTGTTATACGTAAGGTAGCTATGAGTTGGAGCGGACTCAACAGCAACCAACAAAAACAACCCCCAAAATATTTTGTCTTCCTGTGTTTCTCTCAACCTGAATCTATAAATTAAAAATTCTAAACTGCATTTGTAACCTAAATGTCAACAGAGGCCTCCCTGTCCGTCACTACCACCACCCCTGCCCCAACTCCATCCTCCACCCCACCCGCAACAAATGTTCAAAGTCCTCCCCCAAAATTCCTACAAATTATAAAGGAGGCCTCCCATTCTTGGGCTCATCTCTGCCCCTGGAGCCAATTTTCATGCATGAAATATCTGACCTGTACTGTGAGTTACGTGCAAAAATCAACCCCTTCTTTGATTTGCACTCAAAACAAAAGAGCCAAAAACATATAAAGCATTTAGGAATATAGATGACTTTACTAAATATTTGGAAAGGAGAGGCTCAGGGAAGCATCTTATCAGTCAAGAAAGAAAAGCCAACAGACTTTCCTAAGATTAAGAAAACTCAGAACACACTAGAGGAGGGTGTTCTACATCAAACCCAAGTGTTACTAGGAAGGGGTGTTACTAGGAGGCAGTTATTTGAAGGAAAAGCCAACCTCCCCAACCCAAAATCAGGAAAACAGGTTGCTGAAGTGGTCAGAGTCCTGGAGGCACTCCAGAAGATCAAGCAAGACTTCCTGCCCTCCCAAGGCCAAGAGGTGAAGCAGAATGGACACCCTCCCAGCTCCACTCACCTCTGCCTCTATCAACTCCCACCCAGCTCTTCCTCACCCTCTTTCTGAAGCCTCCTAGATCTGAATGAACTTACCTCCTTTTCCCTCCTTCCTCCACCCGCGCTCTGTCTCCTGTAAAAGTAACTCTGCTGCCCTCTCCTGTCCTATCTTAGTGATGACCCTGGGCTTCTCATCCCACTCCTCTGGTCCTGTCTGCTCTTCAGAACTGAGGGCTGATGCCCCATCCCTCAACCACAGGAGGCCAAGGAGACACATCACCACCCACTGACATCAGTCTGGAGGGGTAAGGGAGGGGTGAATGTTGGGATCACCCTGACCCACCCAGGGAGAAGCAACATGATGTCGTATTCTTACCATCAGACCAGGATCTCCTGTGGGCAGGGGCTGTGCCTTCCCCTTCAGAGCAGGACCTGCGCCTCGCCCCTTAGACTAGGAGCCTCCTGGAGATCACTCTGTTTCGGGTCATAGCCCCTTCTTCTCCTGGGTCCCTCGGGCCAGCTGAGAAAGACCTAATGGAGCAGAGTGGCTGCTGGCCAACCCTCCAGCAGCAGCAAGAGGGGGAACTCCCAGCTGGTGTGGACAAGCTGGTCCCAGGGGACAGGTAGCTGGGGTCACTCCTGCTCTGAACCGCACAAAGACAAAGAGGAGCCATTGCCATACTGTGCTGAATTTTTACTGGAGATTAATCCTATTATCAGGGTGCAGAATTGACCAGCTCCTCCCTGACTGCTGGAGGGGCTCCCCATCCCCTCCCCTGAGGACAGGCAATGATCATGCCCCCTTCCAGGGTCCACGACCTCTATGACCTTGGTGACTCGTACCTCACCATCACACCATCACCTCCTTATACACCATGCTGGCTCCGCAAACAGCATAGTGGGTGAACCGCACACACAGGTCATGGCAGACACGAGGAAGCAGATCACCAGATCTTTCTTCTGTGGCACCTCTGGGTGGGTTCAAACCACCAACTTTTAGGATAGGAGTCAATCAAAAACCACCTACGCCACCCAGGGACCTACACAGAAATATATAAATTAGAAAATTAGAACCATCCGTAATGTTACAAATGATTTTACGGTTTTCGTTTTATACTGCTTCTTCCTTTATTTTTATATGCTCAGGAAACTAATGCCTGCACCTAGCTTTCTAAAAAATGAAATAGCTCAGAAAAACTTATAATAAAAAAACAAGAGCTCCCTGCCTGCAGTCCCTCTCCTCAAAATCTCCTTCATGATTTCTCTTTCAACGTATTCCGTTTACCACCCTTCTAATAATATGGCTTAGGCTTCTATTACTTAATGTGTTGACTTTAGAAATTATCTTTGAATCCCTACAAGGAAAAATAAGGAGTTAACTCTCCTTTGTTCTACTTCCCGACTCCTTCCCTATCTTCCTGCCAAGTTTTGATGGTTATATCATTATTTTAGATCTTCCTCTTGGCTACCTTTGGAATGTCTAGTAATAAACCTAAAGCTCTTTGTTTTGTCCCAGCAACTTAGGTCAGTTTCTTGTAACTTCCCTCTTGATAAGATGAAGACATGAGCACCCTACCTCTCCCTCAACTTTGCTCTCCACCTTCCTCCCCCGGCCTTCCCCACCTTGGTCATTACACCTTTACTTGGATGTTGTCATGGTCATTGACATGGACCTTTAGCTCTGGAATCAGAATTAAATCTTCAGGCTTTGTTTACACATTTATTGTAAGGAATTGAAAACAAAACAAAAAAGTGTTTGAATTATTATGACAACATAATTATTGCTCCTTATATTGCCAGATGGAGCCCTGGAGACACAGAGGTTAAGAGCTACAGCTGCTAACCAAAACGTCGGAAGCTGGAATCCACCAGTGGCTCCTTGGAAACCCTCTAGGGCAGTTCTACTCTGTCCTATTGTGTTGCTATGAGTCAGAGTCGACTTGACGGCAATGGGTTTGTTTTTGTTTTTGTTTGATATTGTTAGACAAGGAGCCCAGGCGGTGCAGTAGTTAGGTGTTCAACCGCTAACTGAAAAGTCAGAGGTTCAAGCCCACCAGCTGCTCCCTGGGAGAAAGATGTGGCAGTCTGCTTCTGTAAAGATTGCAGCCTATGAGGCAGGTCTACTCTCTTCTATAGGGTCACTGTGAGTCAGAATCGACTCAGCTAGCAATGGGTACGTAAAAATGGTGTGGCGTGGGCGTCTGACTTTCTCTGACTCACAAGGGGGAAGGAAAATCAAGATGGACAGCCCAAGGCTGATTCCTATGAGGCAGAGGTCAGACACACCTTCTCTCTCCAACTTTTTCACCAATTCTGACACCAACTATCCCTCCCATGGCACTCTCTGCTTCTCTGCTGGGTTCGATAATTCGTTGCAATGGCCACACAGAACTCACAGACCATACTCACGATTATGTGGTTTACTAGGGAAGTAACAGGTTACAATTCAGGATCAGGAATAACTCAAGATACAGTTCTTCGATCAGGACAGCTTCCTCTCAGCTGTGTCCACAGACAGCCCTCTCTCTGGCCCTCAGCCTCTCAGCCTCTCAGCCTTGCCTCTGCCCTGCTCAGGCAAGTGTTACATTTTTTAGCTCCACTAGTAAGTGCCCAGAGGCACACCACTCCACCAGCAAGCCTCCCGCCCAAAGGTGCTCAGCTTTGTCCATCTGTGGGTCCACACACCCACTGTAGCTGCTTAGCTCCGTGGGCAGGAAAGCACACTGCGCCGTCTTGCGCTGGTCTCCTGGTTCTGCTGCCGCAATTTCTCAGCTGCTGCTTCTTGCCATCTCATGCCTTCTCCGATGTTACAGCTCTGTCTCCTGGGTCTAGGAGGTTCTCAGCTCAGGGACCCCAGATCCAAAGGAAGTGCCCCACTCCTGACTCTTCTTTCTTGGTGTCAGTGAGTTCCCCTCTCTGCTCTGGGATTGGCTCCATTTAAGCCTAGAGGGAAGACAAAACTGACCAATCCTCTCATTAGGGTTCCATACACCTTATTTGCATGGTCCCACACACACACACAGGGGTTCCATGCACCTTATTTGCATTACATTATTAGTAAGCTGTCCAATCCCCTTGGTAGAACACTAGCACTTTATTTGCATAGTCCCATGGGAGTCACAAGACCACGGTGAGAAAGACCATATAAAAGTGATCCATCACACTGCATGTACACTGCCAGAAGTTACTACAATGACATTTCTTGGTCAAATGGTACAGAGTCTCAACCTCTGGTCTCTTAAAAGAGAATATTTCTAGCATCAAAGTCAAATAAATTCTTTTTGTCTTTTAATCCACCAGTTGTTCAAAATCATGCCACATTTTAGCATTCTTTTTTTCTGGACCATAACTTTCTTATCATTGTCTGTTTTTTTCTGAAGTTTCTAATTGTTTTTGTTTTGAGGGGGGTTTTTTTGAGTTTTTGTTTTGCTTTTTTTGTTGTTTTTCTCTTGTTAAGAAAAAAACTATGCTTTTTACACATATCACTAATATTTTCTAGCTACTTTATTACATGAATTTTTTTTTTCACCAAATTCATTTTTCTGGAAATCCACTTATTGAATCTCTCTGAGCAGGCAGTTTTTCTTCTAGCTCTTGCATTATCTCTTTTTCTTCTAGGGTCAATGGTTATTCTGATTGTTATTTTATTCTTTGTCCTTCATGCTGCCAATTTTCTTCATAGTTTGAGGATCTTATATCCTTAGGAGCCCTGGTGGTGCAGTGATTAAGTGCTCAGCTGCTAACCTAAAGGCCAGCAGTTCGAACCCACCTGCAGCATCCCGGGAGAAAATGGGGAATTCTGCTTACATTAAGATTTACAGCCTTAGAAACCCTATGACACAGTTCTACTCTGTCCTATAGGGTCACTATGAGTTGGAATCGACCGGACAGTAATGGATTTTTTGTTTGTTTGTTTTATATCCTTATGAAGGAAAGATCAAATTAGTCCTGCTAAGCAGCGCTCATGCCGATGTGGGTTTCCTCCTCTGTTGTAAGCATGTATCTATTTTTTTCACTTGGTTTCTCCTTGCATAGGAAGTTTGCTTAGGAACACCGTTTACAGGGCAGAGGCTTTTTACATGGCAAGTCTCACTTGACAGCTGGTTGTCAGGGAGCCAGCTGTTAAACTGGAGTTCCTCCAATGCCAGAACTAGAAAGGCTTTATTCTGGGATGCCAAGAAAGAAACTCGAGAGTGTTTGTTCTTTCCTCTAGAGATGAGCTTGGTCCAAGTCAGGCAGCTACTGCTCTACAAACAGGTAAAGGAAGAGAGAAGGATATGATCGGTCTAGCTTTTCCATTGATAGACTTTCAGTTAATCCTACCATTGCCAGCACCCATCCTTCTCATTTCCACCCTCCATTGACAATTCTGATTCAAAAGTCTCTCTTGGGTTCCAAAGGACAGACCAGCTCCAGTCTCCACTCCAGGCACCATTTTCTGTCTGAAGTTTCCTCCACTCTGTTTCATCCACCAGCACGCATCCTTCAATTTTTCATCTTGCAGAAATGTTTAAATCTCTCACCCACTGTATAAGCCATTTCACATCCTCTTTGCTGTTATGAGTTTATATCCCCTTTCTAGTGGGATCTCTGGAGGGAGACACAGACACAAGCCCTCAACCCATTATTTTGAACCAAATATTCATTATGACTCATTTGCTATATTTTCTTACAGGCTTTTTTCTAACTAAGGTTTTCCAATTTATGTTCCACTGAATATTAATTTCACAGGCAATTAATAAATTTTCCAAAAAGTACAAATAACTTTCGGAAATTTCTCCCTCTTGGAAATATACAATACATATTAGCATAATGTATCAGTCAGTATGCAGAAATACAAGCAACAAAAACTTCCTCAAGCTGATTTGAACTGAAAAGATTTTATTAAAATGATTTTAGATAGCTCACAGATTCACCAGGAAGACTGGAGAGCTAGGACATAGAAAATCGACAAGAACAAAGAAAAATTACACAAATAGAAACGGCCAAAATAGTCTCACTGAATGAGACCCCGAGTGCCTGGAGAGGACACTGCTGTGGTCACCCTGAGCACTGGGTGACGTGGCCAGCATGAACCTTGCGAAAAATTTCTGACCCTGCTGCCAAAAATGATTCTCCATTCCCCTGCTTCTTTGGGTAGCTGGCCCAGATTCAAAATCCCAGGAAGATGTATCTGTCTGATTGATGGGTGAAGCTACCAGCACAGAGGGAAATTGAGTAATTGGAATGTTCAGCTTCTGCAATGAAAGAAGAGCTCTGTCCCCACCAAGGTCCATGAGATGAGAAATCCCGCACATATAGGAAGGGGGTCCAGCCAAAAGGAAAATAAATATCCACTACCCATATCAGAGGCTCAGGGAAGACTTGCAAAAATAAAATCTGTCTTGCATTGTTTCACTTCAATCTCCCCAAACTTATGTTACCACAGAGCCTTTTTTCATAAAGCAATTATTAACACCTCACAATAGCGTTCTGCAGAAAGCTATATGAGCAATGCTGTTAAGTCTATTTAGAGTAATAGTTACCATCTTACACAAAATTGAGATCATATTGTGAGTGTAACTTTGTATATTTAATGTATGTCATGGATTGAATTGTGTCCCCAAAAAAATGTGTGGGTCGTGATTCTCAGGATTGTATTATCGTGTACCATTTTGTAATCTGATATGATTTCCTTATGTGTTGTAAACTCTATCACTATGATGAGGTTATATGTGATTTCTTTATTTTTTGTAAACTCTATCACTATGATGAGGTTATATGTGATTTCCTTATGTGTTGTAAACTCTATCACTATGATGAGGTTATACTGATGAGGTCTACAACATTAGATACTGTCTTAATCCAATCTCTTTTGAGATATGAAAGAGAGAAGTGAGCAGAGACACATGGGAACCTCATACCATCAAGACAGCAGTGCCGGGAGTAGAGTGTGTCCTTTGGACCTGAGGTTCCTGCGCAGAGAAGCTCCCAGACCAAAGGAAGATTGATGACACAGACCTTCCTCCAGAGCCAACAGAGAAAGTGTTCCCTTGGAGCTGATGCCTTGAATTTGGACTTGTAGCCTACTGGACGGTGAGAGAATAAACTTCTCTTTGTTAAAGCCACCTACTTGTGGTATTTCTGCGAGAGCAGCACTAGATGACTAAGACAATGTATAACGGTGCGTCACTTAACAGTGTAAAAGTTAACAGTGTATATAACTGATATTCTTTCCTTGTTTCAGCTTTTTTAATGCTTTCCTTTTTTATACTTTTCCTCTTTTCTTAGTTTTCTGCTTTCCTTATAAGGATTATGTTTTGTTTCATCTTATTCTCCCCAGTTATTTGGAAAACATATATTTTACTCTCCATTTTTCCTGTGGCTATATTAAAGATTTCAGTATCTGGTTTTACATATTATTTTGATCTTGAAAATCAGGAATAAAACTATACCTTTTCATTCTCCTCATGTCATTGTTTTGTTGTTAGCTGCCATGGGGTCGGCCCTGACTCATGGTGACTGCACACACAACTGAACAAAAGTGCCATCTTCATGATCGGTTATGGACTGGACAAAGGTACATTGTGATCCATAGGGTTTTCATTGGCTGATTTTCAGAAGTAGATCACCAGGCCTTTCTTCCTAATCCCTAGTCCACCTTAGTTTGGAAGTGCCACTGAAGCCTGTTCAGCATCATAGCAACAGGTAAGCCACCACTGAAAGACAGGTGGTGGCTGCACATGAGGTGCATTGACCCAAAATCAGATGAGGTCTCCCTCACCGGAGGTGGGAATTTTATAATTGAACCACCAATGCCTCACCCCCTCATGTAAAATGAGGAAATAAATACACTTTTACTCTCTCCCAATCCATTTCCTAATTACTGGTATTCATTGTTGCCAATAAATTATTGTGCTTACATTGCATTGTTTCTTGAAATAATTAGTTTTTAAAATTATAGTACATTTTATTATTATATTTAAATAACTTAGTCTTAACTGTCTGTTTAATTGGTTTTGTTAGTTGGCCACTTCCAAAGGGACAGACTCAAGATGGCAGCCTATCACATGCACCACAGTGTCTCTCCACAGCAAAGACCCAAGAAACAAAGTGTAACAGATACAGATGACAAACCTGGCACCCTGAGCATCAAGTGAAAGGATATAGAATTAGATCAAACACCAACTGGAAAAAGAAACTGAATGACTGCAGTGACAGGGAGAGATATGGAGCAGAGGTGCCGTGCCAGACAGCCTGGTACAGCAGGGCCATTTTGAGACAAAGCCAGCAGTGACCCTGGGTGAGAAGCAGAGGAAGACAACATCACAAAACTCCCAATAGGAAATGAACCCCCTCTCATTTTTTTTCTCTCTCTCTTTCCCACCCCAGTGGCCCACCCCACCTCCATCCCTCCCCACCTGGGAGAGCCCCTGCATCACCCCCGGCCATGTGCCCTACCCCTCTCCCATCAGAGATAGTGCCTGCATGCCCTACCTTGGCCAACTGTCCCACACTCATGGCCAGAGGGAGTACTTCAGCACCCTCTGGATGCCCACCTTGCTCCTTACCCATCACCCACCCACCTGGTGAGTGACTGTGAGCATTCCTGTACGGCCAGATAACAGTCACCCAGTACGCCCTCATTCATCTCACATGTGCAGTGAACAGGGATGAGGGCTCATCCTTCCCACCATTGCCCCATCCATCTGGGGGCAGGAAGTGAACGTCACTGAGCCACCAGACAAGTCACCACCGAAGCACACTCTACACT